GTCTTCTCCCAGACAATCCAGCCTAGGTGCCACCTCTTCTTAATGACCACGCTCTGTGCACTGGTGTGTGTGAAGATTGTGTGGCTGCACACACCTCTGCTTTTCAGCCTGTGCTGTGCATCTTGCGGGAAGTGTGTAAATATGTGTATGCTTGTGTTTTCCTGTCCAGAATTATTCAAACATTTGGTTCTAGCGCCATCAGCTGGTGTACAACATTACAATACCGCCATCTTCTATACAGCCATAAAGACACAGAGTCAGATATACACTGATGATAAATGCGATATCAACGTTATTTTAAAAGCATGTGAAAGAGATGCTACACAGACAAAACTATAGCAGTAAACTTGCTTTAGAGAAGATTTTTTCAACCTGAAGGCCCTCAGCCAACCAGGGTTACGGTGTGGCTTTAGTCCACACAGTTAACTGTGCAAGCTCACGTTCATCTATCACAGACAGAATAAAATCAGTAATCAGTCATACATGGACTGTTAGAGTCAACTCCTCATAAAACCTTTCTGCTATCAGGGAGCAGCACTTAGCCTGCAACTGTGCACAACTGCACTCTTCAAGAAAAGTCTTCTAATGTAGTCGGTGTTTTAAATTTTAAACCAGAGAAGCTTGGGGAGGTATGGCTCACAGACGCAAAGCAGAGACTAAGAGGTTTCAGTGCCTGTGCGTGTTGTACTTCTCAGTTTTTAGATCGTCTGGCTTGATGTTTTTCTCCAGTCGTTTTAGTCTTTAGGCCACGATTGTGTTCAAAACAAACTGAAATGAAACACAAGGCTGTTTATCACATATCTGACTCTTGTGTGGCAATTACATTATACACCACTATGTACTACAACAGCATGTATACTGTACAGTACAATGTCATTGTAAAATTGTACAAAAGCACTGTCAAACCGGAAACAAATGCCAATTGCAGCCCACTCCATTCACAAGAATATGAATATGGATGTATTTTGCTCATTTTCTTCTTATTCTGGCTTCATTTATTGGATTTTATTGTTGTGCCATGCATAAAACAACACGCCCAGCCCAGAGATTGCAACAAAGCATTACATACCCAGAAAGCAAAGCCAGGGTAGCAGCATAACCTTTAAGCAAAGACTGCTAACCTATAAACACCAGAATTATTAAAGCACCCATTTCATTCTGTCATCACCAGTGTGCCACAAACATTTCTGAATTGTTAAAGGACATTTAATTAAACCTAGACTTTAATTAAATGTCTTTTTAACTCATCACTATAACGACAAAGAAGAAAATTCAACACGTTCTCATCTCTTAATTCACACAACCTGTAGTCCTCCTGCTTTTAAAACTGCCCACTTCAAGGACAAGTGGAAGTATTCTTACTGACAGCTATTGAATTCATGACATTAGACCTCTTGATAGATTTGCAGTAACATAGGTCCACTAGATTTGCAGTTAAAAAAATACTGACTCTTTACTATGTCTTTATATAGTAAAGAGTCGAGGGGGCTCGACTCAGGAAGACCTCCAAAAGTTGACCGCGGCCCTGCAGAGGGAGGCGACGAAAGTTGGATTAAGAATCAGCGCCAAAAAAACCAAGGTACTCCGAGTTGGCTATGCACGTGCCCGCATTGCTGTCATGATCAACCAACAACGTGCTGAAGAGGTGGAGAATTTTACATATCTTGGCAGCATCATCTCGAATGACGGGGTCTCTGATCGGGATGTCGACGCCAGAGTAGGGAAGGCAGTTGGTGTCGTGCGACGTCGCCAACCTATTTGGAACTCGACCTCCCTGAATGTTAGGGTCAAGATCAGACTACTGAACTCTATCGTCTTCCCTACTGCACTTTACGCTAGTGAAACCTGGCGCTCAACAAGTGCAATTATTCAACACCTGAACGTGCTTCAACAACGTGGCCTGCGGCGAATCCTGAGAATTTCCTACCGGGACCGAATAACAAATGAGGAGGTCCTACGAAGAGCAGGCACCCGCCCATTAGCCGATGTTGTTGCAGAAAGGCGCTTCCGCTTTGCGGGCCATATTTTACGCCTACCCCCTCATCGCCCAGATAAGATTGCCATGACATGGCGTCCACGCACTGGCGAGCGAAAGCAAGGCCGACCAAAGACCACATGGCGTCGAACATTCATGGACGATCTGAGAACTGTCGACATTGCCTGGGACGAAGCTGAAGCAGTCGCTGCTGACCGACATCGATGGAGATCTGCCCGATGCGCCGCCCGGCGTAGGAGGAACTAAGTGCTAAGTGCTTTACCATGTCTTTACTTTTGACACTTTAGCTTCAGTCATCAGTCAGTCAGTCTTTTTTACCATAAGCCTTTCTACCGGTTGGGTGCCCCTCCTCTGGCTTCCATAAGTGCAAAATCCACTCCTCACATAAGCTTTTGTCACTGCTGGAAACTTTGTCCACATTTAACATGAACATCCAACGGTAGAAGGAAGCAAGTAAAAGGAAGAAATGGCTTTCCTTTTACTTGCACCTAAAAGCACCTAATTATGGTCCAACCAGTTCAAGAAACGTTCTACAGAAAACATCAGCAGTTTGTGAAGGTTCCTTTTGTCCAGCTTACATCAATGAAAACCAACTGAAAAGTCTCTAAAGGACGATGATATTTTTGCACGTCGTTCAGCAAGCACACTTACTGATGTTGTACTCTTGCACTTTATTGATGTAGCTGTAGATTGGCGAGTAGCCAAAAATGATGAGCATCACTGGCTCGCCATTGGCCAGCTCCACCACGTGCGCCGCGTGTCCCTCCAGGGCATAAGGAGGTGGCGGGACTGGTTTCCGTAACGACCAGGTACGCCTGGGGACGTTGAACACCCACATCTCATCGGTCACATTAGCAGGACCTGCTTCCAACTTCCCGCCAAACATGTAGATGTCATCCTACACAAGGGAAACACGAGGAAGATTTCATATTAGAGTGATGTGATGTTTGTGGAAGTGTTATGAAGTTTTGCCTGAGCTCTAATATCTAATCACATTTGAGCAGTCAGCAGACCTTCTGATGGGTTGTCTGATAGTAATACGACTTCAGAGTTCTTACCACCCCCATCATGATAATGGGAAATGTCTTCTGCAGCAAAAGACAGCACTGCGTTCAACAAGGACAAAACATCCAGACATTGATTCAATCAATATGTTTTTAATATTATTACTGATGTTTGACCACTTTGTGGGGATTGCAGTAAACTAGTGACCTGAATAAAACTGATCATCTTGCTTCAACTTTTTGCTGCGTGATCTTCAGGGATGCACCTCGATCATCCATAGCATCGTGACCAACTGCCTAATACTGTTTTGGTCCCCCTTTTAGCTACCAAAACTGCCCTGACCCATCAAGGCATGGACTCCACTAAACCCCTGCAGGTGTCCTGTGGTATCTGAAGATGTTAGCAACAGATCCTTAAATTGTGGAAGTTGCAAAGTGGGACCTCTTTGGATTGGACTTGTTCGTCCAGCACGTTCGACTCGTCTGTTGGATCAGACAACGGTCTTGGTCTTCCATCACCCTGTCTCTGGTGATGGGCAGCCCCTGCTCTTTCCTTGGACCACTTTTGATTCTTACTGAACACCGAGAAAATCTCACAAGAGCTACAGTTTTGGAGTTGCTTCGACCCAGTCGTCTTTCATGACATTTTGGCCCTTTCCAAAACCATTAAAATCCTTATGCTCGCCAATTCTTCCTGCTCCCTGATATATCCCACTCACTAACAGGTGCCACGATGAAGACGTAATCAGTGTTATAAACTTTACCTGCCAGCGCCCATGTTATGCCTGATTAGTGTACATGTTACACCCTGACAGTATCAATACAAGCCCAAATAAGGATCCCAAAAACCTGCTGTACACTTCTGGTGCCATAAAACAGAAAACACCACAGCTCCTTTAAAGATCAGAGTTTACTTAGTGGCATAAGGAGGAACTTGATATTATTAGGCATCTGTTAGCATCAGCTAATGAAATCACTTGTCTTTACAGGTGCTGCTGCAGGATCACTTAACTGCTGTGAACCTTTCAAGCACAGCTATTAATGCATTTTATGCTGACAAACACCTTTGGCACTGTAAATATTTAGTCAGTAACTGTAAATATGAATATATTAATTATAATAGCTGTAAATGCAAAACAAAAACTGTGTTTGCTGTTCTTTTTTGCAGCCTTACACCTTGTCACACACCCATCAGCCATCGTGTGATTCCCATCTGCCAAACATAATCACCTAAAATAGTGAGTAACCAAAAATACCAGTGTGAAACTAAAGGGTGAGGCAAAAGCACGTCTGCTTTGTCCTCAAGTCAAAGACGTTTCAAAAGAAAATCTGCCGATGGAGCAAAGTGATTCCTTTCATCCGCCTTCACAGTAACAGGGTGGGTTTGAAGTTAAAGCTGTGCGTATAGTAAACAAGCCAGGAGTTACTGCAGGCTACAAATCATCAGCAGGCTTCAGTCAGACGCTCTGACCTCCTCTGGATCAAATCTCACCTTCAGCACAGCAGGACGAGATGTTTGTCTTCATTCTCCCTCCTGTCCTCCACCATTAAACCATTCCTTCCACGCTAAAAAAAAAGTAAGCGCCCCAGTATTTGGACAGCGACACATCATTTGATGCTCCTGGCTTTGGCGTGATTGATCTATAGCAGACACATGAATGATTCTGATGTTCTCATTTCTTTATAGGCAAGCTGAAATATGGGCCAGTCTTCTAGAAACGCCTCAGTCCTGTGAAATGACCCCATATAACTTCAGAGAGACATGGACTGCAACACACACACTTCTAATCAGTTTGTTGTCTGGGATTTTTCCCCCCCCATAAATGATATATACAATGTCAAAGCAGACTTATTTAATATTTATCAAAATGAAGAAAGAGAAGCACGCATTCAAGGCAGCTAAGAAGCTAAGAATCCAGAATAAATGCTAAAACTTTCCACATTTTCACTGCTGTGGAGTAGCATGGAGTAGTACCAAAAACATGATACCGTTTCTTGTTTTTAGCATTGGTGAAATATAAAACTTAAGCAGGATTACCTGATGCAGAGCCAGTGAGTGTCCGTATCTGTAGAGAGGGCCGCTGCTGACAGGCACCACATCCCACGTGCTGGTCTCTAGGTTGTAGCTTTAAACAAAGGGAAAGAGTGGGAAAAAGCTCAAAGACAATCACAGTCGACTAAGTCAGATGGATGTGTCTTACTTGAGGACCATTTGGTAGTTGGAGTAGTTGAAGGAGTAACCTCCCACCACCCACATCAACCCAGAATGCACCAGAGCCCGGTGGGACGCTCGACCCAGAGACTGAGCAGATGGTTTAATGCTGGGCAGCACCCAGAAAGCCTCAGTGGAGGGAACGGAAAGAGAGCAGTCTGGACCTGATGGAGGCAAAAGGACATGTTTCACTTTTTGGAATTCGTACATACATTGTGTCCAATATTTATTTTACAGGTAGTGAAGGGCAAATGAATTCAGTTTTCTCAAAATATCAATCTATAAATCCTATTGTGCTTATCCAGTTTAGGGTCATGGGGAACTGTAGCCTATGAATACCCTTAACAGGTTGCCAGTCTATTTATTTATTTATTTATTTTTACTTTGGTGCCACCTAGTGGCTGTTCTATGAATAGGCACCAAACACACAAACTCGAGCTCATTTATGAGCAGATGATGAGCAACCCCAGATATCTTTTAAAAAAGAAAAACAAGACCACTTCTACAATACATTTTATTAAAATATACATTTTTTTTTTATTCACTGCATCTGTCCATCGTTTTCTAAAGCTTATACTTTTCCCTCAGACCTTTACCTTTTTCTTGCTCTTCCTTGAACCCGTTTTGCCTTCTTTAGTTTCACTAATTGATCGTGTTTTCTTCAGTGAACAGTTTTGCTTCTACTTATTTATATAATGCAAAAAAAACCTTTGTTTTAAATTATTTTATTCTTTTTTTTACTTATTATTTTGTAAAGCACATTAAAATATTTTAACTCAAAGCGAGAAAACTGACAGACCACAAAGCAGAGCTTATCCAGATAGCAGTCGAGAATAAAAGCACATCTTTACAGATTAAATGAGAGTTTTCTAACATTGCAGGTGAGTCTGATTAAAGCAAGACGTGAGAAACGAGATAAATGAAAAGCACTCGATCACAGACGCATTCAGCACTTTTCTTTCTGCGGGGGGTAGAGGGAAGAGGGGAATGAAGGACAAATTGTAAAAAATGCTCTTTCCATTAATGCAAAAAAAATTTTTTTTTTTGGTGCTGCCAACTGGTGGTTTCCATGGTGACCAATACCTTTATTAAAAGCCCGTTTGTGTTTCTGATGCCTGCTCCGAGGCTCTGTATCAGTCTGCACCTCACTCATTACCAGACAGATACACATACATCACTTTGCCTCACTGGTGTCTCTGTTGCTTTTGTGTGAACAGTTTGTGATCTGTAGAAATAAGAGGCTAAATCCTAAAGCCCAGAATCTGACCCATTCACTGTCATAGATGGATAGCACAGTCCATCTGAATTGTTTTCAAGTAACTTAGGTAGGTTCAGAGATGATACCTTTGTGGCTGTCAAAACACCAAAAAAAAAATATGTTAACCAATATCTCTTTGTGCAAATTATGAGTTCATTACTCAAAAAATAAATAAATAAATAAATCAACAAGCATTGTTGTGAGCAGGTAGGATTTTGTTTCTACCAAAACACACACACACCTTTGATTTTAGGATTAGTCTTATGTATTTGTGTCTAAAAAACTTAAAGCAAATACTGAAATAGACAATATATTTGCTGAATTTTACACTCACATACATATCCCTAAAACTGAAGTGTTAAATATTAAATGATTTTAATATTTTTTCCTATTGTTGTACTTAAACTGGGGCTTTATTTAACCAGTCACAGAGTGCGCGATCATTGCAATTTAGCAATATGTTCCTATGGTAGCACCTCTCATATTAATCTGTTTAGTTATAACACACAATCAGGTCATCAATTTGGTGTCTTGTTTGTGAAAAACTAAAATGTAACTGACATACACAGCACTGGGTAAATACTGCTTAGCCTGCTGTTCATCACTGTACTGTACAATTTGGAATATTTGCCTTTTTTTTGCCTTTAAAATGCATCCATTTTTAATCTTCATTCTTGGAGATTTTTATTGTATTGTTTTATGGGAAAAAGTTGGTTTTCCTTTCTCCTTGTGTTATCATTATCCTTCCAGGAGGGGGCAGCACTTCACCATCCAACTTCAACAGACTTTGTTGTCTGCTGAATTGTTCTTCTTATGTATTCTCTTAATATGTTTGTTACACATTTAGGATCAAACTGGATCTG